TAGGGCACACACAGGCATGCTGCACACACTCATACCAGGGCTGGATATTCCAGAAGTCAGATTAACCTACTAGTAATGTTTTTGGCCTGTGGGAAGAAACAGAAGCATCCACAGGAAAACCACGTAAACATTGGGAGAACATACAAACAGGTAGCACCTCAGGTTCAGAATTGAACCCAGGTCCCAAATGCTAACCACTGTGCCTCCATGCCTCACTGGTAACATACTCTTAACTTTAAAGCTGAATGTCTGCCTGGTACTGATTCTAATTCTTAGCCAAAAGAAAATCCATTTGAACTTTAACCTTTCAAATTCTGAAAAAATCCCGGAACACTGTGTTGAAACCACTTGTTGGAAAAAGGGACTAAATCACAATTTCATGCATCTTACTGGACCTTCATACATCTGCTCTATAATCAATTAACCTTCAGCAATTTAGAAAGCAACACAAGCTGCAACGTTTTTTAAAAGCCTTCTTTTTGCTTCCCGGGCTTATGACTTCACCGCTGAGCTGTAAGGCATTGCTCATTCTAGCACTTGCTGTCGTTTTTGCTTCCCACTCAGCAAACATGATGTACCTGACAGAGAATTAGAAATAAACCAAGCTGGGTTATAAACTACGTCAAAAAATGACACTAAAAGCTATGAAAATTAATTAACGATGATTGGAACACCAATTTAAGATTATGATGCCAAATTCGTAAACTATACTGCTGTGGTAGCTCACTGCGTCCAGCTCTGTGGTACTGCATTTTGTACTGTGGTAGAATGAAAAATAATCATGTAGGTTGAAGGCCTTCTTGATGCTGCTGCTACACTTGGTGTTTTATAAATGAACATGAGGCAGTTTCCTTTACAAATATCTAGAACAAGCTATCTGAAAATTCCTGCGTGTCATATAAATAGCTATGACCAAAAATAAACTCCACGGAGCTTGAAAACATACAGACCAACATTAAAAAGGATTGACAGCGCTGGAAAAAGCCTCATCCCCCACACTCGATAAGTTATGTCAAAGTAGGACGACTTCTAAATACTTTCTTCAGTGTTTTTTCTCACTACTACATATTTATTGTCCACAACACATTTATGGTTGCTGTTATTATTTATTATATTTGTAATGTATTGTCTACATTATGTGATGTTGTCTGTTGTACTGTGAATATCCCTAGTGATCAGCACAATTAAGAATTACAACGTACATGTAAGTATGGCAATAAACTATTCTACTCTCTCTCTACTCTACTCCTGTTCATATTACTTCTGCTCATCAAGTAATTTGCACTTGATTTGCAGTAGAATACCAAACATCAGTGTTCCTGCCAAAGCCTGAACGAACGTGACTACAATTTCATCCACAGCTCATAAAGTGTACAATAGCAACTTTGGATTTCATGGACAAAATCTAAAGGGGAATTTTGTCTGTAAAATCAGAAATAGCTAATTTTCCCAGCTAAAATGAAGAAATGCACCAATATTAAAACAGGTTATAATAAATACTACATAGATTTAAAATTCAGGAAAATCAATGGTGTCCTATAGGTCAATTGCTGATGATGAGTGTTTAATTTGTGTTTTATATGCTTTAGCATATTTTATACATTATATTTACGCCATCTGGAATAAATGTATATTTATGATTTTCATTGACTGAATTGATTGTAATTATTAAAAAAATAAGTCAAACGATCCATGAAGCGTGTACATATGTATACTGTGTGTAGTATGTACAGTATATTGATGATGATGTTATCCGGTCAGTCGGATCCGACTCTCGGCGATTCTATGGGCCATCTTTCGCCACGCTTTCCGGTCTTGGACTTTCCCTTTCAGCTGTTCTATGCCTAAGCCAGTGTCCGTTTTGATGGCGTCGAGCCACCGCGTTCTTTGGCGCAGTATAATACTCTCATACAATAGTGGGTTTTGGGGCAGAAAATGCGTAATTCATGATTCAAGGCACATTTTTCAATTTCAGACACCCCTTCCCCTCTATTAGTCTGCTATTAGTCCATAAAACCAATGATTTACTGTGTAACTTACTGTGTTACCTAGAGCACTTTATTGTATTTTCGTATGAGTATGCTTTTTTTTTACATTCTGTTGCATGTGTAAAGCGGGTGCACATTTTAGTAGCTTTCAGATTTCACATTTTGGAGGGGTACAACACCCCACTGAATACAAGGCTGAATAATGTGATTAGAGTTCTACTTTCTAAAATACACATTTAACAGAATAGGTCAGGTACAGTATAGCGCGCTTTGTTTCAAAATAAAGCACTGCCCTCTGCTGGACATTGATAAACAAATCGGCCAAGGTTATTTCTAGTCTCCACATAAAACCATGTTCCATAGTTTGACCTCTACTTTCCCCCTCCACATTGTTTTAAGTCATTAAAATTCCCTGAGAAAATACAATAATATGTAAAAGATAATATTTTTCTTATTATGTACCAGAACTAATCATGTTGACATTTCTACCATTGCACTTTATCCAATTTGATTTTTCATTTACAAACATAATTCTTGAAATGGAATTGGAGGGCTCTCCAAAACTCACAAAGGAGACATATGCTATATATTTCTGTGTATATCTGTGTATAATCGGTACCAATTATATCACTTATTTTATAAACATGAAACAAACCAACTGTGATTAAACAGATGATTTTGAATTAAAGAATTTAGAGATAATTTTTAACAAAGATTTCTGCTGTCAAGGACTAGACTTCCTTTAGTTGATCAAATAATTAAAAAGAGCAATATTTTGCAAGTGTTCTCAATGCAAAAAAAAAATGCTGACTCATAATGATATATTAGGCTGGCAAGACTGGGGCTTCATTGGACAACAGTTGGAGAGTGGTTTAGGGTTCATCATTCTGGCAAAATGGAAACATTAGTTACATGAATGTTGAAATGAGGAATGACCATTCTAATTTGTGAAAGTCCTCTGTCTCTGCATGGCTTCATTCTAACTCAGCTCTCATACTGTAGATCTAAATCAGCTCATTATTGGCTTAATGGACCAATTTAGATTCTCCTATTTAGGTGCTGATGTTTTGAGCACACCTGGAAAAGCTGCAGACAGCCTGACCCGTCAAGATCAAGATTTCACATGCCTTTATTGGGAATATCATCCATGTGCTGGAAGGATGGGGTTGTGATCTCAAGTACACTAAATTAAAATAATGCAAACGGAATAATTGGAACATTGTTTGTGGTAAAATATTTGCTGCACAATCTGTACTTATTCGCCTGTAAATCGCATTATACAGTATTAGTCATTACAGTGACTAGTGACCAGGGAGGGACAGTTTATCACAATTCTCGCAAACTTTCTCTCCCGCCTGTGGTGACACAAACAGTTTGCAACGACATGGCAAGCATGCAGTACTTTCAGAAAGTTTACTATATTATGCTTAATTCGAAATGTGTAAATTTTTTTTGCAATATTTTGTTACTAAGATTTTAAGATCCGGCCTGAGAAATTGGGACTTCTAATTTACTTCTGGGAAACGTGGCCCTGGTGTGTCTGCTATGTGATGGAATGGCATCCCGTCCAGTGTGTACCCAGCCTTTTCCCTGTTGCTTGCAGGGATATATTCTGCTCCCCTTTGACCCTGAATTAGATGAAGCAGAAAAGGGATGGATGGAAATTCGACATTACCCTAGCTATTTTAGTTTACCCAGTGATCAGTTACATCAAACTGGTTGCTCTTGCAACACATTTGCTGCTACTGTACATCTAAATGTTTCTATTGGTTTTATTGCAGACACCTAAAATGGCCTCCTGTGTGAAAAATTAATTTATATTTAAGTGCAGATGGGAGTTGTATGCTGTATATTCATTTTAAACTAAATTGAACTGCAATTTAGCTTTAGCTCACAACCACAAATTCACCTAATTTCAGTCACCCGTCTATAGACTATACTGTGTTGTTCCCATGTCTTCCAGTTGACTAATCGTTTATCCTGTATACAGAAATTGGGGATGTACTGTACTAATCATTTTCTCACATTTGTAAGGGCGGTGCCATTGACACTGCCACATAGAGGAGAAAATTAAAAACCTGAGATTAATTAGGGTCCGAAGAATTATTCTATTGAATTTTCCACAGCGCAAACATTAGTTGCCAGCAGCCATCTCACCTTGCAACTCACAACTGGCAACCCACTGAAGCAAAGCAGATGTGAGCCTGGTCAGTACTGCACCTGGATGGGGAAAGCTAAGGCTACTGCTTCAAGAACTGTTAATTGGGCCAGCAGGAAGCGCTCACCCTGCGGTCTCTGTGGGTCCTAATGCCCCAGTATAGTGACGGGGACACTATACTGTAAAAAGGCGCCGTCCTTCCGATGAGACGTAAAACCGAGGTCCTGACTCTCTGTGGTCATTAAAAAGCCCAGGGCGTTTCTCGAAAGAGTAAGGGTGTAACCCTGGCGTCCTGGCCAAATTTCCCATTAGCCCTTACCAATCATAGCCTCCTAATAATCCCCATCTATGAATTGGCTTCATCACTGTTCTCCTCCCCCACTGATAGCTGGTGTGTGATGACCGTTCTGGCGCACTATGGCTGCCGGTGCATCATCCAGGTGGATGCTGCACATTGGTGGTGGTGGAGGAGAGTCCCCATTATCTGTAAAGGGCGTGAGTGAAGTGTCCAGAAAAGCGCTATGTACTGTAAGTGTAAGCAATTCTTATTATAAATTAAACATTTTAATAAGGTGGGGGTGCAAAATACACCAAAAATGCCAGCCGTCAGTGTATACTATACATAGCCTACAGTGTACACAGAAATCTTAACGTCCCTGTATCGTTTTCCGATTTTTCCATTGAAAACGCAGCTACATTATACTGTACGCACTGACTCTACAGCACAAAAGCTGCATTTCCTGGTGCCAGTCCGAGTCGAATCCCCCTTCTTTTAATCCATGTGGGAACGATTGGCTGAGTGAAGTCACGTTGTTGCTGTTACTCTGTGAGACTAGCCCTGCACCACTGTTTCTAATAGCAGCCGGAAGAGCTGTTCTCCTACTCACGCAAAGTGTGTGGATGCAGCATCTGCCGGTTCGTACTGTACGTTTCACATCTAGATACGGTTTACCTAGAAGCTGCTTTTGTAGTGTTTGTGCATTGAAGCAAATCGTATTGTGCACGCAAGAAAAAGTAAAAGACGAATATCAGTAGTCAATAAGAAGAACATTCTGCTACCATCTAATCATATGTGATCATTGTGCGGGTGGTTGTACTGTTGTAAATGGTAAGTGCCTGATTCCTTGGTTTTCATTATTATCTAGTTTATTGGTATCAAATCGTGTGGTGCGCTCTCTGTTCTTGTTCTGTGAGACGAAATAACCGGTGTCTTTTTTTTCTCTCTCCTGCGGCAATACAATAATAATTGCTGATCTTAACGGGATGCATCGTTAGAGCGACTCATAGTCGTCTATTGCTCACAAAAAAACAATAAGCCGGTTTATCATCGGTCATTATATGGTTGCATTAAATATATTTATTCCCTTTATTTTTTTTCATTTATTAAACTAACTCAGATCCATGATATTACAGTAGACATGTCCGTTATTTTTTCCCCCTGAAATGTAAGTTGTTACATTTACAGTAGATTATAAAATTGTAATTAATCTTTTGTTTTTGTTTCAATTGTAAAATATATGATATTTCAGTATCATGTAAAATAATTATAATGCACAAAACAAATATCTTGCCTATGAATACATGTATATACTGTAGTTTTTTTTCTGAGCTTTTATTTTCTCTTATGCTTACAGTACATATTTAGTTTTTAACATGCTGTTTTGACCTCAATTTCAAATAATCCATTTATCCATCTTTGATTTTATGTTAAAAGTCTTGCAAAATCCAGAGACACACTAATTTTGCACTTTACCCATGTATAGAATTATTTGGGGCTTTCAAGGTGAACTTCCAAAGACTTACAAAAACCCTTGAATGCCCCTCATACGGATAAGTATGGTTTGCTTCTTTGAAGGCATCCTACCTTGAAATATAAAATTGAAAAAATCAATTTGCAATAAAATACAATTAAAACATATGACATAATTATTTAAATGTGTTTTATCAACCCAATTAATTGATATAACATTTATTAAAGAAATCTGATGCTTTAAATATGTACAGTAGTTAGTTCACTTTTTATATACAGTATACTGTATGTCACATACCGTATTATCAATAATATCTGAAAGGGATGTGAAGTCCATGAGTCGCAGATGGTCAGTTTCTATCATAGCTGTCCATACGTTAACTGGTCACATCCCGGCAGTAGTTTCAAAATTACCACTACATTTAAACCTGCGTTTCCCTTTGAATATGCTATCAGAAATGCAGCTGGTGCAATTATAACGTTTAACAAACTAATCACCATAAAATGGATTGGATTTCTTCTTTCAGGTTAAAAGTTAACCACGAGCAACCGGAAAAAGAAAAAGAATTACACAGTATTTATCATGAACATTGTGTAAACTATTAACCCTTATTTGTGCAGATCCACAATAATTCACTCTATACAGTTAGGGTTACAGTAGATAACTCCTGATAGCAATTTTTATCAGAGCTACATTGTCTATGGAAAACTCCTTTTCAACTGAGCACGAAACAGAATTGTTAGCTTCCATCAGCAATCTAGTGAGGAACCACTACTGAAAGCTGTATTAAGCTCTCTGACGTGACAGAGTTGGCCCCTCTGCTTCCCTCAGGAGGCAATTATTTATCTCCTAACTAAGGTGAGCAACAGCACTGGGCTCCATGAGTCATTAAAAATGAATAGCAGTGGTGCTTTCACTGACATCGCGCATGAAATCTCTTGATTCTTTTTTTTTTTAGTATCACAGAGGGTATTAACATTCTCATTATTTTTATTGTAATTAAAGATCCTTGATGTTTTTCTACCACATTGCAGTTTTTTTTGTGTGGAGATTTTTGTGGCATTTTATTTTGAATTCCAAAATAAAATTATTTAAATAAAAGGCTAATGTAACAAAACTGTATATGTGATTCCAAACTCATGCGAAAACATGCAGAAGAAGTCTTTGCATTTTAACCATTTTGTATAGGTACCTCATCATTATCAAAGAACTAATCAGTACAGTAACTAATTATTATCAAACAAAATAGCTGAAAGAGTAACTGATTAAATGTACTTTCCCTTTGTTTCAATACCTGTGAATATTTAAAATAGAGTATTAAAATCTCAGCTTTTGCTTTCAAGATTTAGTTTTAAATGTACTGTAGGACTGGATTAAATTAAAACTTCAAACTACTAACTGATCAGACATTTATTACATTTAAATTTCGACATTCTTGTAATTATTTTACAATTCTTTTAAGATTGTAAAGCTTTCTTATTATTCTTGGTTGTAATGGAAAGTGATTGCTGTAGTTTAGCTTCCATGGTGTAAGTCTACCAGATCGATGAGAAGAATTCAGAAGCCTTAATGTATTACATATTTCAAAATATATAATGTGCTGGTAGGGGCTTATCACTGCCTTCAGGTTTTGAAGGGAAAAAATGAATGCATAAGAATAATAGTTTAATAATTGTATTCAATTTATATTTTTATCCTAAAGAATCCCAAGGTGTTCTACATGTAGAAGGGGTCCCATTTAATCCACCATTATAGTGCAGCACCCACCTACTAGGTGACACATGGCAGCCAATATGAACCAACCCCTCTGTAGTATAGATCACTTTGAGAAGTAAGAAGCTACAGGGTTATTTAAATTAAGGGTGGATTTGAGGAAGGTCAAATTGTGCAAGCCCAGAGCAGAATCCAATCTGGCTTCTTAACATCCCTACTCCTACGAACAGAACCATGGAGTCTTTAATGACTAAATAGTCAGGATGTTGATGTAAGGGCTCCACTGAAGGATGTTACTTCCTTCAGCGCATGTTCCCTGGTCTCCATACTAAGGTGTTGGTTTGGAATAGTGCCATATTCAGGTCCATCATCACCACTTGCAGTCACATCCTGGTTTTCCGTACTGCACATTCCAGTACTGTACTGACCAGGCCCACTCTTTTCTAGGTCCTGAGATCTCGTAAGATCAGGGTAAAAGATGGTAATGTGACATGGCTCTGGCTCATCGCACCCTTTCATTTTACTTGAAATCCGATTAACACTTCGTTCCGTTGTCAGGTGTTTTTGCTTACATAAACACATCCAATGTCTGTTTCAGTGAATCATGGAATATCATATTCTTCTTGTCTTACAGGACAGTGACGCTTCTGCGGCATGTGACTTCAGATTCTGACGTATTTGCCATAAATGATTTTGCTGTGTAAGGCAAGTGCATTTTTAAAGTATCCTGTAGTTGGTGTCCTGTTTTTTTGCCGATTAAAAGTCTAATGTGGTAATATCTCGTTACTATGTTCAATCTTGGATGAAGTGTGACTTACTTTAAAATACTAAGAAAGAGCTGATGAGCAGCTCCAGCAAATAATTTTTAAAAAGGACCTGATTTAAACTCTTAAGGGTTTTACTGCTCAAGGCTTTAGTGGTTATACCATATGTGTAACCAACTGAAAATCTGAAGTTCAAGTAAAAGTGTGTGCCTCTTGCATTTTTGAAATAGTTGGATCGGGAAACCTCAAACTGTTGGCAAAGCATCTGAAATTGCACAGGCCAGTGTGCACAAATAGCAGTCAACTGCAAACTGAACTCCTGTTAAAGACATATCTGTTTGATATTATGTAGTACAGTACATTGAGTAAGAATCAGCTTAATTTCTTGAAATATTTTTTGTTTTATTGTTGTTATCTTGTTTTATTTAAGATAACCATAATTGCCAAGTACTGAAGTTCATAAAATGAGTTATGCTGGAAAGAAATGCATCCACTCATTAAAACTGATGCACAATGTGGCTTAGACAAATTATTTGTAAACTAATTGTTCTGTAATAACAATCAGGTTTTAGAAATTAGTTTTAGACTCAAATTCTTTTTTCCCCTTTTGAAAGCTACAGTAGTCCATGTCTAACATATTTCCTCAAATTAGGAGAAGTGTCAGTTCGTGACAGTCTTCCTGTTGTTTATTCACTCAATATTGTCACTGTCCACTATATTAAAATATTAAAGACTTGTCAATAACAAGGTGTCAGAAAAGGAAACAGCAGCACACGTTGAGGAAAAAAAAACAAACTCCAGTGAATACAGTAGAAAAGCAGATCTGGACGCCAAGCCAAATGTAAACTTACTGAGAGAGAAAGACAGTTTCATAATGCTGATGGGGCTGACCAGGGATTTACTGAAAAAAAATTCCAGTCAAAAATGGTTGAAAAATTTAAGACAATAAATAAGTCTTGATGCATCTCATTGTTTCCTTTATGTACATTTGAAATTTTGTTGTTCATTTTCTGCAGCTGTTTAAATTGGGTTCTGTATATCTTTTTGACATCATATGTGATGTCAGTAGTTGTGCAATCTGGGACACCATTTATTTTTTTAAATATGTATTTCACATTTGAATATCTATACATATATTCAATATAGTGTCATAGGCACCACGCTACTGAATAATTTCTCACCCATTTTCACTTGATTCCTCTTATGACACATACTGTATGATGATATTTTAGAAGATTTAGAATTACCCAGCAGAAAAATAAAATCAATCTTGAAATTCAACGACCCCATAGGTTTTAACTGTTTTTTTTTCACATTTATTTCCTTTTCAGTCTGTTATGATATTTCTTTTTCCCCAGTGTTCTCTCCACACATGGGCAGCTTTATTACAAAACTGTCTTATTTATCACTGTAAATAAATCCATCAAACCTTTTCTGCCTACAATTAAAGTTTTTTTTTTGTCAGTGAAAGAAATTAAGGTAGCAGACTCATAGAGGTTTGAAGAAATAGGAGTACTGGGACAGTTATAATGCGCTGGTTGAACAGGAAAACACCAAAACCGATGACATCGGACTTGTTTTAAAAGGGAATTTCACAATTTTCTTCTCTTAATGCTAATCACCAATGGCACTTATGATGCTCAGTAGCTACATACTGTATATTACTACATTGTACATGCTGGGAACATTTGTTCTTAACAGTAGATAGGATTTTCGTAGAAACGTTTATTATCTTAAAATCATAAATTGCCATATTCCTTAAATGGGCTCTTATTTGAAATCACTTTTCAAATTTGATTTTGCAATTAATTTTCCTGTTGAAGGATTTGCTAATGTAATGAGAAGTTGCTATTCAATGCTGTGAAAGCCACTCCAAGGTTGCATTTCAATGTTGCATCGATAGTACAACATCTGCTTTTGTTGTACTCATTTGTGTAGATCTGAAACACAAATGAAAGCAAATTTTTTAAAGCTCTTTCCTTTTCTTCAATGCTATGGCTTTCTGCCCATCTATATGTTTATCTAGCTTGTAATCATTCTGCCTGTAATAAAGGCCAAATGAAAATAAGAGGCTGCCAGTGTATTTTTTATTTCAGGAAGAGAAATCCTTCTCTCTACAGTTAAATACAGTAGCTTATATAGGTCGGTCATAAGAAGCATGTTCAGATACATAGAGTAGTTTCATATACTGTATAGTATTTTTATATACTGTATACTACCTGTACATCATCACCCGTATAATCCTTTGTTTCTGTATTTGTTATATCCTTTATATTTGATTATCTCTTCTCTTTGAGCTAATTTTGTGTCTACAAAAACATTCTGGACATGATATATTGGATAATGATTGTGTTTCTCAAACATTATACAACTTGGTTTTTCGATAAGAAGCTCTGATTCTTAATTGGAAACGCTGGTTCGTCTCATTTCTTTCCTTGTATAGAACACATGGAAATCTGCTATGATCTGCTATGTATGAATCCAGTGACTACATACTGTACATTAATCCATTTTTTCACTGGATAGCTGTGGATTTCTAAAATTGTAAACTTTATATACATCAAACCCCGTTATTTCAACACTGTCTTGATATCTGATTAGCATTTGCTCCTGCAAGCATGACTAAAACCAAAAAAGGTCCAAATTACTTCCTTTTGTTTGTAACCTTTTCTTTTTAGTTTGTAATTGCATCTAGATTTATCTAAAATGTAGTGAGAATTGAACAGGTATAATGGCTTTAATATACCACAAGGCTGCTTATATTACAAAAACGTGTATTTTTTTATTGTGTTGTTCACAATGACCAGACAGTTGTTCCATATGACCGGACAGTTAGGCAGCCATTCTTCTATAGTAATAAAACAAAACTGTAAATAACATAATATTCTTAAGTACTTCTTAATAAAGAATACATCTTTAAGGAGTCAGTTGTTTTAGTTATTCCAGTAACAGATTGAATTCCAGGTTTCAAAGGGTGATATTACATATTGTTTTTAAAATTACTCTTCAGGTCTTTCTTAACATGTGATCTATGCAGTTGGATAGCTGCCATAACAGTTTAAGATGCAGGCAAAATTAATTTTTCCATTCTGTAGGAACGGACTGAATTCATGCATGATCGAAAAGGTAGCACAATGCCTCATTCATATACAGATGTAAAACACAATGCAAAAGGTCAGACGTTAAATCGCAAATCAAGTGGGTCTGCAAAATAAATTGTAGAGTTAAAAGTGAAACGTAGGAGCCTTTCATGTAAGGCAGGTTTGATAAAATAAGAATGTACCGTTCCGTAGCCTGCTTGCCTCTAGGCAAAAAAAGGTAGAATGACCTAATCTATTCGTAAGTGCTTGAAGTTTACAGAAGCATACTAATGTAAGAAGATTCAGTGAGGATATTTTCATAATTTTACAGCATTTTATGAATGGAAACGTTTAATATATCTGTCTGGTTTCTTTGACTCAGCCATTTAAAAATGGAAGCAAGTGACTACTTCAAATAGTGGCATTTTTAAGATCATCATACAGCATGATTTAGCCTTTTACAGTCTAAAACACTGCAACAAAATGTAATTTTGAACTAATTTTAAAACAAGCAGAAATGCTTGTCTCTAAGACTGCACGTGAATTAAACTGTTGTGCATTGCTATGGAAATGTTTGTAAATGGAGATTATTTTTGCAGTGATGATATTCAGAATGCATCTGGACGGCCTATATGCTTCCCAAAACAATGATTTTAATGTGGTGCTTAACCACAAAAGCTGTGGTTTCAGTGTTACTGTTCTGGCCCCTTTCTGTCATGGCATGTTGCCATGGCTGCTGGAAGGAATTTTCACTTTGTCTCAAGCATATTACATGCTAAATCCTAAAGAAAGCACACACTGTTCTTAATAAGCAATTGTGAGCCTATATAGATAACCGTGTTAAAAAGCTCAGGCAGAAAATGTGACCGTTCGATTAATTCCATTTCAAGGTTTCATTAGCAATTATTTTTGTAGGCTTTCTGTGCACAATTGTATATGTTGATTTGATTTATTACAATTTAACACTTAAGATTTAATACATTTCCTTGGAATTAAAGGGGAGATTTATAGTAATCGTGTTCACTAAGTAAGAACGATGCTATCAAGGGTTTCAGCTCTTCTCACCCTGACTGTTCTGTGTGAAATACTTTAAATGAGGGACACTAAAAAGATACATTTCTTCTGTGTATTTCTAGATTTCTAGATGATGTTAAAAATATCTGCTATAACTCTATTTTAAGTTAGATATTTGGTAACAATTTTGAACATTTTGCTGCATTTATCTCCCAAACAAAGAAATAGAATTTGATACAGGCTATCATATAAAGCATGAAAAGTACTGTAAAGTGTTAATGACTTTCACACCTGAAGTACTGCTCCACTGTAAATATAGAGGACTTGACTCCTGGAAAACACACCTTGGATAGCAATGAATGCATGAATTAGCCAAAAATGAATATGTCACAACTCATTATTATGCATAACATAAGATAAATCTTCTACAAGGACTAGCATTCCCCATACAGTATTAATATACTGTGTGATTAGGTATAAGCAGTCAGTTTTTGTACATTACCAGAATGAAATACAAATTTTCTTTGTGTGGACGGGGGAGATATTGTTTTTTGATCAGAGAAAACCTTACTACGATCGAAACAGACAAGGTATGCTGAGATGAGGATAGATCATGCTGAGAACCAGTGAAAAACAGAAAGGATCTCTAACCTCTCCCCTCAATTAACTTAATTATTTCTCTGGGCTCCTTGTGAAAGAAAAAAATCTTCATTGATATTCAATGTAGCAGCTTTAAGAGGTACAGTCCTGAATCTAATACAATTTATCTGCAGAAATGGAGGTAATAATAGATGTAATCTGATTATTTGATACAACAAGATGTAAAGTGCAACAAGGGTTTAAATAT